AAGAAGCTCATTTTTCCACATCCCATTTCTAAACTTTTGTAGACATTAGTGATTTAACCCAAAGACTCTGCAGAAAGAGATTCTATCTCCTGGGAAAAAATTTATTCCTTGTGCTATGAATTCTTTATGATGTGTGATATGCTGCCAAAGATTGCACTTTTAAAATTACTGGGGGTTTTTCCAAATCACAGAGAACTGACAAAACAAAAGACAAACTGTAAGGAAAAACTTCCAGTGATGCAGTGTCTGCAATGACCTTGCTCTATTTTGGCTCATTGCCATGAATTAAAATACCAGGAAGAATGAATGCACACACTGGGGTGATTTTGAAAAGGGAGAAAAGAGAATTGAAGAATAATAACAAGTCAGGAAATACAGCCTTGAGGTTGATAGAGCACCTGAATCCAAAGCTCTAATTTTGTTTTGTTCTCCTCCCTCTTTTTTCCAGTTCAACCCTGAAGGTTTTCTCTACAAAGAGCAAATCTTCAGTGGTGTAAATCATCTGCAAGTGTTTCTATGTCACAACTTTACTTCCTCCTTTCTGCCGGGAAGGGAGTTGCATTGTCAGCTTATTGAAATCCTCTGCCCTATTAGCAATGCCAGGATAAAAGCCCTCTGTGTGACTCTGGTTCAAAGACACTGGTCTTTTTCAGTCATCAGACTAGGAACAGTAGTGGTCTGTAAAAAGATCCCACTGACACATCTGCTGTCAGGTGCTCCACAGCTGGCTCCAGCCTGCAGTCTTTCTGTGTGCACATCTCCAGCAGGACAGCTGGGGCAGGGCCCAGAGCCTTTTTGGTGCTGCTAAAGTATGAATGGAAAGTGTGCACAGTATGGGAACAGGAGCAAAGGGAATGAGGGCAGACCAGCCAGTGGCTCTGCTGGAAATGGGCTGACACACACATCCAAGTGTCAGCCAAGAGGTTTAACCTGCTGCACCACACAGGTCACCACAAATGCTGCTTTTCCTACCTGCAGGAACAGGGCTGGATCTCTTGCTTATGCTTCAACACTGCCATGAATGCCACTCATGAAGGATCCCAGAAGAGCAATCATGTCCCATGGCTGTCTAGGCTGGACTTTGCAGTGCCCAGCAGCTGTAATACTGATTGTGCCAGTGCTGCCCTTCACAAGTATTACTCCAGTGCACAAAGGGAGTGATGCACAGCCTTAACCACCATTACTGCTACACCAGTAACATGATAAACACAGCATGAGGCATTAGAATATGCTCATCCCTAATGCCATTTTCTTCAGCAATGCACGTGGTCTGACTTCAGACACAAACAAATGTGTTCAAACAGACACATTTTAATGAGGAGAAGACCAGTGGGTTGAGGGAGAGACTAGGCAAAACTTGATATATTTTAAACCATGGGTGCATTTGTAGTTTATGAGGCCAAGCAATAATGCCTATAGTATGTGCCAAGCAGTTTGCAATCTCAAAATGCTGGAAGCCAGCTGATATATGGCATTATTTCCACACACCAAACAAATAACACCCTGGATTCTGATTCAAGAAAAGAAAAATTGTCCTTAATGTTTTTAAGTTATTAAATGTTAAAGTTGCATTTTTAAATAGACACTTGAGTAAAACTAGACTGAAGGGTAGTCTAGGGATTTAAGTTAATGTTGATTAAAATCTGCTTGCACTTTTTCTCTCTGCTATTGTCACATTGATCAAATGTACTATTTAAATTAAATTTCCTGATCTGAAATTATATTGCTATCTATGCTGAAGAAATAGGATTGCCTTGAAGACATTTATTGTATTTACTTGTGTGCAACTGAAAATGCTTTTAGGAATTACAAGAAATGCACTCCTGGTTTAAGTGGAAACATCTTTGCTCCCGCTGTTATCTTATAAATCAAAATGAACTCAATAAAGCCTATATTAAAACAGTAAAAAGTGAGATTATTTGTTGATGAATGGGTATCAAACCTTGAATTTCTTACTCAGCTATTATTAAGCCTCCTTTTGAAACTAGTAATAAAAAATATAATCCAGACTCTCTGTCTACAGTTACAATGTGATATCAGCAGTGCTGAAGTTCAGCAGGGACTGCCTTTAAGTGCTTGCTTCTCTTGTTACCTCTTCCAAAGTACCACACCATGGATTCCCACTGCAAAGGAGGTGGGCAGCAGCTACAAAGCTTCACAGAAGCTAGTACCTGATAGAAATGAGTTCCTGCATCCTGGCAGTAGCTCAGACAACATATCTGAAACAGACATGGATATCTACAAAGACTTTGCAAAACATCTGTAGTAGGAAAAAGCCCTAGCCAAGTGAGAGTCAGGATCTAAATTTTTTGCTTATGACACATTACACAGAGGACATTTGCTGACAGGGCCAGGAGTTCTATCATAAACTCATTAATTTAAAACAGAAGAACAGTTTGATATTTTTCTTTTCCTAGCAGAAGTGATTTTAGGCCAGCAAAACATCTTTTTTGCTTCCTTTGTTTTCCTCCACTGCATAATTTAGCATTCCAAAAATACTGCAGATTTATGATGGTGGCATCTGAATTCAAAGAAGAATTCCTGCAAGGTCTACAGCTAAGCAGTACAGTTATTAACTCTCCAGTCTGTCACTGATTGTAAACAGAACCTGCAAAATCAGCTTGTACTAATTTTTTAAAATATTATCATTTTTTAAGATCTTTGCATGAGAAAAAGGGTTTAGACTACTTAGGCAACTCACACAGAATGACTCATACTGAGGTGTTTATATCTTGTTTTTCTCTACACAGCTTGCTTAAGGCATGCTTGCACTGGTCTGGAGCAACTGTAAAATGATTTATATGTGCTCACACATAAGTAAGCAGAGAACAGCTTATTTGTTCATTGTTCTAAAATTCTTAGTCAGTTTTAAGAAGCTATTGTGTGAAGTTATCACTGGAAACTGGACAGCTATAGAAAACAGGATGCCTGTATATTTTCCAGCATAGGGAACCAGTTGTTAGACCATAGATGGTTTATAGAATCATAAGAGATTAAATATCATTATGAACAGTTGCTTTGACTGTTTTTACAGCACTGATTTTTTCCTCACGAACTTAGTCCCTCTCAGCAAACTTTTGTGCCTATGCTGAAGTTTACACTTTGGCTGAGTCCATGGAAGATGCTGAGAAGTCACACATGCAGGGAGAAGAAATGGTAATGTAGTAACATTCATAGTACTAATTGGTGGGTGGCTTAGAAAACAGCCTTTAAGCCATGTCCTAAAAACTCAGTTCAAAGTATTGCATTCTTATTTAATAAAGAACTAAATTTTATTTAGATCTATTATGTGTAGGTTTGGTTTTGTTTGGTTTTTTTTACCTCAAGTCATGTATCTCCAGGATATCAGGAAACACACTTCTATCGTTTTAAGTGATGTTTCCATACAGTGAGCTTATGTCAGTCATCATCTTCTAACATAGACTATAAAGTCACCCTTCCTAGTCTACCATACACGATGTATCTACAGGAAATAAAGAGAAAATTATATTCACTCCTCTAAAATCTAGCAGAAAAGTAAGAAAAATCTGAGAGGCATCTTCCCTTTCAAGAACCATGAAAGCTCTTCACAAAAAATCGATTTTCTGAGCTTCATCTGCTGTCAGAGCTTAAGCAAATGGGATGTGATCAGGGCTGGGTACAGTGTCAGATGGGCCAGGTGAGCAAAGAGGACGAAAGGAGGTGCTGGCCCTTTCAGCAATAACTCTGATAAGGTGTGTCCTGCTCTGTGTTGTCAAATGCAGCAAGTTTTTTTTCTGAAACAGCCATTTTAGAATTATATCCATCTTCACGGTAAAAAAATGATTGTTGTTCTTCAGAGTCCAGCAGACAACCTCCAGACAAAAGACTCAGAAACAGTAATAACTCTAATTTTTCCACAGTTAATCTGCAAGTGTTTATCAAAGATAAATATCAGTACTCTACTCTAAGAGTATCAGTACTCTACTCTTTAGCCAATACATAAAAATTGATTCTTTTGTGGTCTCTCAGTAGGAAAATATATGTATGACTGCAGGAAGCCTAGATGGCATTCAACAGATTCTTGTTCCTCATGACAAGAAAGGAAAGGGACTGCTTTCCATCCACTTGTATGGGGGTTTTTTTCCACTCTTCTCCAGTGGCACATCTGTGCAACTGAAGTTGTATTTCGCTGATGCATATTGTTTTTTAGTTTTAAGTAGTGGTCAGATTCCTGGAGGGATCATTGCTCAATAGCAATAATACAATAGAGAAAAACAGATATGTAATCAATTTTAAGCTAATTGCTAATAAATGTTAAGATTAAACGTAGCAAGCAACATAAGGAATCTTTGGAGGGAAAGATTTTCCACAGCAATTGCATGGAATCCTTTAAGTTCAAATCAATTAATCTAATTACCCTGAATGAATTTCAGTATAACATATACTTTCACCTCACACTGTACATTTCAGTTTATGAACTGTTCCCAGATTTGGGTGAAAGAAAATAGCCATAATAGATAATAAACAAAATACAGACTGAGGAAAAGATAAGGAAAATCTCACCATAAGGCGGCACAACAAATTACAAATAACTTTTCATTGTGGAGGAATAAGAGTTTATTCCAAATGTTGGAACACATTTAGCCTTTGCTATCCCATTTTCATCAAGAGATGAAACAGATCATGTCTGCTGTGTAGGTACATCCATTAAGCAGTTGAGAATGTCTACCTGGTCTGACTATTGATTGAAGTCAATGGACACCTTTTCAACCGACTTCAGTAATGAGCTTTTACAAACAATCAATTTTGCCCTGGCAGCTTCTGCTGTCTTCATTCATTTAAAAACATGATAAAACTTTGTCAAAGAAACATTTGGAAAACAGTCTTATCACTGCAGGAAATACAAAACCTATTCATTACTCTTTGCATCCAAGATTGAGCTTGAAAATATATACAGGTACATTTTAAGGCAATCCACAACAAATATATGCATCTACATTAGGAATATATTCTGGAAAAAAAAAAATCAATATCCTTACCCCAAAACTTTGGTGGCCATGTGACTGGAGTAAAAGTACTGTTCCTATCCATAACATCCAAATAGCAAATACAGAACGGTATGTCCACAGAGGAGCAATAGTTTTCTGAATTTTGAGATTTCTGCAATAGAAGCAAAGGTTTTGTGCTGCCACGGAACTGTGTTGTTTGCCTGAAAGGAAATGGATGTATCACATTTCCTGCTTCTGGACTCGAATTAGTAAGTGCTTGCCTTATCTTGGAACACCACATGGTTCCCGAGACAGGGAAGTAGTTTCCTTCTCGTCATTTCCTCAGTCAGAGCAATTTGACTCAGAACAATACCAAATCACCTCCTTCTCTGAAAGTTTTTGAACTCCAAAAGTCCAGAGATAGAGAGGTGAAAATTCCTTTTTCTTTTCTTTAAGGATTTTCTATGTTGAAGATATTCCTTCAACATCCAAAAGTACTTGTATATGGGTAGGAATTTTCAGTAAGAAAGAAATGCATCAAGAGGTTTTTAATGGACACCAATTCTTTAGGATATTAATTTAGGGTATGAGGATGGTTTAGTATTCACCATTGTTCCTTGGCTGGTTTGAGGAATTAGCTGGGCCTGACAGTGTAACTGTAAATTTTTTCCTTTCCACACCCCATTCTGAAATATGAGTTCCCTGGAACACAAACAGGCTTTGAGCTAATTGCTTGGACACGTTTAATACAATGCAGTGTTAATTCCCCAATGGAATTGTAGGTACTGCTGCTATATATAACATATAGGAATAACAACATAGCTACAGGAGAAAAAAGCCAAGACATTTAACGACGTAGACCTAGAATTAATGGAGAATGAATGAACATTGATAAAATATATTATTTTGTATTTGTGTGATAATTTCTGTAGAAACAAGTTTTTAACTATTTTCTTCTTAAATATATTTCAGGTAATGGATCTCCATAAACATTCTCCTGTGAATGGAAACTTCTGCTCTCTGAAGGGGTGTATGAGGGTTTCCTTGCCCTTATACTATAAAACCCCTAAACAACCCCAAACCCAGAAGTAGCTGTATTTATTTTTCATAATAAATATCTAGAATACCCTAAATTTAGGACTATTTCAATATTAAGATTTGGATGTGGCACAATTTTAAGACTGAACCTTTTCTGTTATGCTTCAATTTGGTTTTTTTCCTGAAGGGCATTTTTTAAAATACTGAATAAGGCACCATAATGGTTAATGGACACTGATAGTTTCAAAGCTTGTGCTTAAAATGGCATATCCAAATACTGAGTTAAGAACTTAAATGAAAAAGATCTGGTTTTCATATGACTGTGAATGCAACACGACTTCATAAGAAATTCTGGGATTATTTAGTTTCAGCTGGGATATTGATACCAGAACAGATGCTACAAATACACAAAATAAATAGTTTTCAACGAGGGTTAGATTTGTTCTCTAAGAGCATAGGGAAATAAACCAAAACTGAATTATTGTTAACCTCTAAAATGAGAAAATTAAATCATTTTTATTTACTGACTGCATCTATTGAGATGATCATTGTAAAGAAGAATTGAACACAATCTATTTGAAAACCATCTGAGTTCAGACATGAACATGTACAAATAATTGCATGTTGCACATAATCAAATGTATGAAATAAAAACCTTAATTCTTTGGGAAGAAGTTGACAACACTGAGAAACAGGACAGTGTCTGCCTTGACAGTGTGTTCCAAGATGGTAGTTTTCTTGCTTTCCTCAGAAGCAAACAGCTGATATGGGCAATTACCAGCAGCAGATCAGAGAAGCTGCACAAACAAAAGTCTTACCTGCGACACACACCTATGCTGCCTATTAGCCACTTGCAACAAATGAAGTTTTAAATGAATAAAGGTGATGTGAGTGTAAACTGACTTGCTAAGCAGGAGGCTCTCTCAGGTCATTTTCAAACTGCCTTTTCACGATTTACTTTTGCAAAGAAAAAGGAAGAATTGTTAGTTCGGGCAACAGAATTTATCTAAAAGGAGTACAGCATATCATATCTTGAGACAGAATCATAGAATGGTTTGGGCTGGAAGAAATCTTCAAGATCATCTGGTTCCAACCCCTTTGCCTTGGCAATGTTGGAACCTTCCACAGGATCACGTTCCTCAAAGCCACATCCAGCCTGGCCTAGAACACTTCCAGGGATGGGGCACCCACAACTTCTCTGGGCACCCTGTGGAATCTTCACCAAAAAGCTAAAGCAGATTGGTACATCACAGACTCTTCTTAATTCATTATTTTGAGTGTTAGACTAATTTTATTTCTGTTCTCTTTTTTTCTGAGTATTGCAAAAATATATTTTACTCGTAACCCCACAGATTCTTTCATTTTTCTTTATCAAGAAGTATCTTTTCCTGAAAATAAAATGATCATAGGTCAAGGTACCCTCATGGGTAAAAATGGTCATCATCTTTCATTATACTGACAAGCATAACCCAGTCACTTCTGACTGATGGGATATGGGGGTATGTAGATGATAAGATGTCAAATATATTACTAATGTGAGTTCAATTCCAACAAAATGAGCAGTCTTTTATTCTTTGAAAAGACTAATTTAACTCTGTCCTTAAAGGTTTCAAACTCACTGATTAAATTAGGGAAGGTGCTTTGAATTTACAACAGCACCAGCCCTGATCCTGGTGAAACACTGGTAAATATATTGAATTCTCCTGCACAAACCCACACAATTTTCTTATTTCAAATGTAAGCAGAGTACACTGAAAAACAAAAAAGAATAGAATGAACATCCAGTGAAACTTTTTCTTCTTTTTTTTTTTTTTACACTTTCCATCTGGAGATTATGATTTAAACTGGGATTTCCTTTAATTGTTTCATATTTCAGCAGTCTCATATTTGTCCTTGGTTAGCTTTGCAGCCCTCCGGATGCATGAAGAAAAAACTCGGGAATTTTTTTTTATTTGACCAGTGATGAAAAATGTTCCTGTCTACCATCAAACTACCAATGTTAAATGCTGCTCATAATGTGCCAAAGGGCTGAAAAGCTACATCTTCAATATACTGGCTTTAATGACTCACTTCAAGTTCAGACAGCAAAGTTCTTCAGAGTACCAGCTACAGGTTAAATGTCTTACTGCCTCATGGTGGCTCTATCAGAATGCACCTTCCAATATTATATGGATGCTATGAATGAAAAGAAGCATGGATGCAGTAACATGACCCTCTTAGAAAACACACTGGCGTCTGGGAGTGTGTTAGTTGTTACTAACAAATTTTTCAGAGAAGGAATCATGGGTAGGAGTTTCATGAGAATTCATGGTCAGTATTTTTTGGGAGCAGTGGAATCCTAAGGATATGATATAAAAAGAAGATCCCTCGTTGCTAATTATGCACCATTACATGATTGAGAAGACAGTGTCACTGTGCAGTATATGAATACTCTTTTTGTTTACTGGAACATGTGCAACATTTTTAGATACAATATTCAACTCAAAACTCTGAAACCATATTTTTTGATACAATATTCAACTCAAAACTCTGAAACAGTATTTTTCCCCTAATGTGGAAGGCTTATATTGCTCAGTGAAAGATGACTGAGAGACACAAAAAGTGGCTGAGGAGAGCACTCCTCTTCTGCCAACTGGGCACTTTCTGATTCCTGTTTTTTTCATGGAATTTGTGATATTGAAGACTGTGTGTATTAATGTGTCGGTGAAAAAGGAAGGAGAGAATTAAAAGAGAACAAACAGCAAAATATGCTTTATTTTACTGCATTTCAGCACTGGTTAAACTTAAGGTAGGAGAAAAAAAAATAAAAAGAAGGAACTATTTTTGATTCAGGTTTAAATATTTTAAATAAGATGTCAAAATCACCCCAGGTCAGTGGGTCCTGCTGGAAGCAATAGTGGCAAGTCATGTGGACAAAGGACAGTTTTAGCATCTTGGTACTGAATTCCTGCAGGCAAGTGGTATCTAGGGAGTATGGTGCTGGGAATTGGCATTGTGGGGCTAGTGGGAGTCCATCTGCACACCTCAGTAATGGGTGTCATCCTCAGGGACACAAGGAGGTGAAAGAGGGAGGGGGCAAAGATGAGCTATTTGAGGCTAAAAGAAAGTCAGGGATTTCCTCTCTCACTGCTTCCTATCTAGCAGATTGCTTGATATTTTGTGGTGGCCTACATAACACTAGCAATTTGGAAAGCTGAAAGTCCCAAACTCAAACCTTTATCAGGAAACTAAATTGGAAGTAACCATCCCAGAAGAGAAGAAAATAAGGTACTGCCATTAGCTAAGATTTCTTTCCTCACAGGGAATTAAAATGGAGCCATAAATAAATTTGGTTTCAACTTTCAGGTTGAAGTTTCACAAATAACTACAGAGGATTATATTACATGCTTGCTAATAGGAGCAGAACACTGGAATCAGCAAGCCAAAGAATCCTTCTTCATTGTTAGTTCTCCTACAAATGCATCCTGTGAACCCACTTCCCACACAGCAGATGAAAATGAAATCCACCAATATGCTTTCCAAAATGTGGAAAATGTTTATCTAATGGACAAATTTATTAGTTTTGCATAAACTTATGATCTAGGAAAGAAGTTTGCAATTATGTTCTCAGAGTCAAATATTTCCTTGTCTTCAGCTAGGATGCTAGAGGGCAAAGGACAAAGCAATAAACATGGGGGTCTTTCTACTCATTTCTGCTCTCCTAAAAGTCCTGAGGCTTGCAGTGCTGAAGCATGACATTTACTAAAGACATTACCTTAATTCAGATTGCTCTTCTCTTCTTTCCTCTGTCCCCCAAGAAGGGAACCAAGCAAGGGTACAGAAAGCAACAACGCCCAAAAGCAATTCAGCGTGACAACAAGACTTTATTTTAACACTTTGATGGTAACTGATTGAGTGCTACAGTTGAACTGAAAATTTTACTTCCACCAGTACTGGACAACAAAATCATCTCTTGCTGTTGAATTCTGTCTGCTGTAAAAAAGATGGAACAAAATGGAATCCATTTCTCCACTCCCTGGATTGGTCTGAAATTTATCATTTAATTGAAATAATATCACAGATGTAGTTGTATTTGCTTATGCTGAGAGATACTTCTCTTTCACAGACATTGGTCTTCTGAGCAGCAATTCTTACTTAGCTTTACAATTCATGAACAGTTTAGAAGCAAAATTGTATTTTTCCCAAGTGGCCACATGGAATTTAATGGACTTATCATGCAGCATTCCCTTATTACAAGAAAAAAAAAATATTCCTGTGTACTAC